ATTTGATGTACTATGATACTATAAGTCATGAATACCCAACCCAACCCAAGGTGCCAATGTTGGTGGCTGCTGGTGGTTTATTGGTTTTCATAATTTTAATTTTGTGATTTAAAAAAAAGATGTCTTTCTAGAATACTCAGCAGGTTTGATATTATTAAAAGATTAATATCTCAGTGTTTCTTATTGTCTAAATAAAAGTTATTAACTGTTAATTATGTAGTTTTATTCTTCAAAAGGAAAACATTATCTAAGAATCTTTGGGAAATATGTCGAGGAAAATTCAAGACAACTATGTTTTGTGGACTTGCTAGAAAGCTTTTAGTTGACAAGTGAACCGTTGCTAGAGCTGCCACATAGGCTAGTTGAAAAAATGAGGTGAAAAAGAGTGAAGATCTACAAACCAAAACATTATCGTTATGGTTTAACTGTAAAAATACACGAGCTTGGTTCTTAGATATAGATTCTACACTCGAGACCCCTTTCTTTTAAATAAATTATTTTTACAAACAAGGATTATCTTGTTTAAAAAATATTTCATGAATACGTTTTCATAAGCTTTCTATAATCTATCTGTATGTGGTATGAATGGTTGCTATGGGTTAAAAAAAAATGACGTATCTATTCAATCCAAGATGCACATATTTGCTTATTACCTGAAGATCCTGGTTGAAAGAATTAAGAATAAAATTATTTTTATATTTAATTTTTGAACGAACGAAAATTGAATTGAAACTACCTGCAGTTTGTTAAAATTAATCATGTTATGCCTGATTCAGACATCTCTCGTCCTTGAATGACAATTTTTCAATGATGGTTGAAAACCCATTCGAGGTCATCCTCAATTTTTCGCCAACGATTTAAACTTCTAAAGCTTTTGATTTTGCTAGATAAGTTGGTCTGTTTTAGTGATAGATGCCTCAGAAGGGACATTATTAGTTGAAAATAAATTTTTGGATGAGAGACTTGTGGCTTGTAATTTTATATCGTACATTAATAACTAGGCAATGACATAAGTAAAAATAAGTTTTCTTTTTAGTGTTTAACTTATGTTTATTTTTTTTAAAAATAAATTTCTGACCTTATTTACCTTGCATTTTAAAAATGCCATTTACTATTTGGCATGCATGTTTAAACATGCACTTTCTCGAAATTTTAATTATGGTGATTTTTTTTATGGCTTTAAATATTTATTTGCACTTATTAACTTCTGGTGACAATCAGCAAATGTGTTGGAATACGAGAAATAATGATGTGTCAAGCATGGGAAGTACGCAGCAGCAGTTCTTCTCTAACTTGTTTCAATTACTTAGATTGTTTAAGAAAGGAGATCTTTCCTTCAACGCCTTTTTAGCCTCCTCCTCATATTCAGGGGTATGTCAGTTGATGTCATGTCTCTTATTAATCTCTTGTTATGTCCATTTAATTTGTATAAAATCGTTGGTAATGGGTCGTTATATCTTGATCTACTGTTGGAAGGTGGGGATCAGTATGTAGAGTTTTGTTAGTCACGTACCTTGGTGCTTTTGTTATGAGTTGCAATAATTTTGATTGGAAGATTTAAATTTTTTGTAGGTGAGTATGTAAGTTGTTAGTTTTTACTCTACATTAATTCTCTACTTATTTGTTATCATTATAAGTAAGTAATCATGTGTGTAAAAAATTAACTTATCACAACCTTCTTCCAATTAACGACTATTGCAAACCGTTGAAGCAACCATCTTAATACCAGCTGTATTCACAAGATAACTTACAATTAGATAAATATACTTCAATATAAATTATTTGTTATAAAAATTGTTTTATAAATTTAGGCGCCAGATAGCCTTGGTATTTAATCAGTTTATCAGGCAAAGGACAACGGCAACACTTTATTTTTCACCACTTAACATCATTAATCTCTTCGATTGTTTTTGAGATAACACCGTATTTTCATTTTGCGTTAAGTGTTGGTTTTTAGAATTTTAATCTCATTATTGTTCTGAGAATTGTGTCGGAAAATGAGCGATATTCCCTCCTGTATGGTCTCTGTTCTCCGATATGGCTGCACGTTAAAGCAAGAGTTTTAAAATATGGCATCCCCGTTACCGGGAGGGCGGAAATAAATAATTTAAAAGGCAATAGGGAATTATTCATAAAGGTGTTAATTCTTCTTAAATTATTTTTTATTTTTATCGCATTTGGTTCAATATGCTACTATGAGATAACTACGTTACTCCTGTGATTGAATTTTGCTAAGTTTTATATTACCCCTACACTTTTACCAATAGATCAGCTATCCATCCATTGTGTAATCTTTCTATTATATTTGCCTCTCACGTCGGGATTACTTAAAATTCCTCACAATGAAGATGTCCAGAGATGAAGAAAGGTCGGGGACGTAGGATGATACAGCAACATCCGCAACTTTTTGCAAAGAGTGACTCACCGACAGGAAAGGTACAATTGATCGTCACGTATAAGAAGAGGTAGATGACAGTTGATGTGTGCCGCTACACTGAAGAAAGAATACTATTGAGGTATAATAGAGGCAAGGACGTCGTCATAGCGGGATGCTAATGCCGTTTCTCGTCTTAATCTCCACACCGGAGGTCCTAATGTTATTTTTTGTCACCTGAGGTTTCTCGGTTTGTTTGTACTAAATCATTAGTCGTAAATTTTTATTGGTTCTGCATAAAAATAAAATAAATAATCATATTCGAAAAAATACACTTAAATACTCTTTAAAATACACTAAATTTTTCTGGTAGTTAGACATCATTTTTGTTTCGTACTTTAAAAAAAAAAAAAAAAAAAAATGACGCCAACTGCTTCATGATAATTTTATATTTCGCTGTTCGTTGTTTTGCTCCTGACAATATCCTTATCAAAGTTTCGTTAGGTTTCGTTTTCAAGGACTGAACATATTATAGTCCGTGGTACAGACCCCTTTTTATCAAATTATTAACATCCACGTGAAACATCATAAATAGTTTCATCTCATCGTAAACTACAAATATTTTATTTACAAATAATTTTCAGAATTCTGCCGTTTTCAGTCCGTAGGTCGGCATTTTTGTCTATTTAATTAGATACTAAAAACTCATCATTGTCCATTTGCTCTCCACTTGAATCTAAGATATGATCACAAAAAGGAGGCCTACAAAAATATTGGACCATTTGCGTGACCTGCACCTCCAAAATGTTAATATAAATATGAGAAGGAGTTGGCCGCACCCCCCGATCAACTCCTTCTCATATTATATCAACGGTCAACCATCTCTACACCATTGTTAATATAAATAGGTTTATATAGGCCAAACAGCAAAATATTTCTGTTGGCAAGCTGGAGCGGATATGTTTCGTGATTTTGAAGTCATTCCTTCTATCCCTACCTTCATTTATAGATATTGTTAATAGCATGCTTTAATAAAATTCGTTTAAAGTTAAATATATTCAAGTTTTAGCCTTCCACGGAAATTTTCGCCCTGTAGAAATGTCTGGCTAAGCAGAATCCGTTTCGGAACAGAAAGTTAGCCAGTTTGTCGAAATGGTATGCAAATGGCCTCGCATGTTGGAGGATATAATGGAGAACGCCGTGTGGAAATAGAAGAAAGTCAAAGGTTCAGTAAAAGTGTGAGACAGTAGATCCATTTCCATTGTCTACTGCACAGGGAACTGGAAGATGGTGAGAGGCGGGAAACGCGATTTTAAGGCTGGATTCATTTCGGGAAAGTTTTGAGACTTAAGCGACTGGATTTTTGTTTGGCTTTTTGTTTTATTATATTGTTGTTGTAAATAATATTTCAATTATGTAAACAAAACGAGAAAAAAAAAATACCTGTAAATCTTATCTATTTCTTAAACATCCCTTTTTAATTTTATTGACCTTAGAGGTTATTTTCAGCATTATGAATCAACAGTTTGTCATTGAATCTATATACAAAACGTTCATTCTGCTTGTTTGAGTATGCATAATATTGATTCACAAGTTTACTTTGGCGTTTGTTTAAAAAACATCAATATGCTGTTCAGCGTCTGATTTTATTCGAACTTTTGTTTTACAGCGCATATTAAATAACAGATAGCCTTAGCTAAGTTGTTTTAATATATCCTTATTTTTAACCGAATGCATTTGTAAATATAAATTATTTTAAACGGTAAACTTATAATTTTTATTTTATTTTATGGAATACCGGACGATAATGTAGATAGTTTGTTGGATATAACATTTTTCAATTATTTTTCGTTGTATATATGTGTAAATGTATATTTTAGTTTTATTGTTAAATTTAATTTAAAATAATTATTATAATCGGGTCCATGTGGATTTAATTTAGTAAACTACAATAATTGATATTTTGATACAATAATTCGTATTTTATAATAAATGTATATATATATACATATATATATATATATGTATATATATATATTTTGTATTCATGACACAAGTAGGACATACAAGAACCAGTTTTCTTAAGTGCGGCCTTGGCCCTCGCCTTGAACTCTTTTCATTTTGAAACTCCTACGGTAATTGTGCTTCCATATAATGTAGCAAAGTAACTTATATCATTTTAAAAGAGTATTTTATTTTCCATGCATAAAATAAATTGCTTGTCTGATTTCCTCCTTCGCCAACGTTTAAAGTGTGATCGACTTCTTATGAACGGGTTGACAAGATCACTTTTAAATTCAGAAATAAAAACTCTTTTTTTTTTTTTTGCTGTTATATGAGTACTCTCGGCATCGAAGAAAATCTGTCGACATTATAGATCGATTGCGATTTTCCGGAACCGTTACGGTCCAGGTTTTCCACGTGTTGACTTCCTTAAGAGAAGAAAACTGCCAAATCCTTCTGAGGCAATTAAAGTAAATGGCCCTTGAGGAAATGAGAGGCGGACACTAGATTACCGAAATCAGTTCTGGTTGAGGTGTCACTGGGCGCCCGCCCGAAGGGGGCCAACGGAACCTGCTTCAAGATCGGAACCGGATCTCTAACTTCTCGTTCGGCCGGTTCTAGATTATTCCGAAACTCCTCGGTTCCGTTTAGATAGCCTGTTACCCTCTTGCCGATATTTATAACTGTTGCTCGGTTTATTTATCTTGGTATTAGCCCAGTTTAGTGACGTGATCAGGGCGGATCTGCACTGGGAAGGGAAAACGTATCTTATACTATTTCCAAGTGAGATTTACTGTCTTATTAATCCTTAAAAAGTCCTGACCTGAGAAAGCAAAGGTAGTAAACACCTGTAGCAACTCACATTTAGGTTCATTCCTATTTTATATTTCAGCATGAGATAACTAAGAGGATATTTGAGGTACAGTAATGGCTCTTGTAGTACCTCTAATTAGCAAGGGGGTTAGTGGTTGGATCCATGGTACTGGTGCCACGAGATTCAAGGGTCTCATTAAGTATATTAGGATTCAATAATTGAAGTTTGTTTGTTGTTTATAGACGTAAAACCCCCAGGTCATCAACGCCTACGGTTTAATAATCGAAGTTTTACAGGTTGTTTTTTAAAGGCAACCTGTATTTTGAATTCGATTCCCGGAATCGGGGGCTTTTAACTCTGGCATTAATCCTCTTTCGGGAGAAACCCCGTGTTGCTGAATAGGAAAGATAGGGGCAAAAGAAATGAAAAAAAAAAGTTGTTAAATGTGAAGAACCATTATATATATATATAATGGTTCTTCACATTTCTTAACATTCTTAACAACTTTTATATATATATATATATATAAAATAAAATAAAATAAAATAAAATAATTGTAGCTATACTTTATATTTTCACATTTAACAACTTTTTTTCATTTCTTTTGCTCCTATCTTTCCTATTCGGCTACACGGATTTTCCCCCGGAGGAGGATTAATGCCAGAGTTAAAAGCTCCCCTTATATATATACATATATATATATATATATATTTACAACTTTTCCTTCATCGACCTTTGAGTATTAAATTCAAACTTCACTATTTTATTGGGAATAAGGTCATTTAATTATTATTTAATAAACTAATTAATGTTCATTTCTTCTGTTTATTGACGTTTCGATCCCGGTATTTTCTTTTTGGTAGTCAACCATGGGATCCTCTTCAAAGCTAGAATTTAAAAAAATATAGAGCTTCGATCAGGCCAGGGACACACCGACAGCCTCAGCACCATCCACTAGCACATATATTAAGCTACCACTAGAGTAGCTTAATATATGTGCTAGTGGATGGTGCTGAGGCTGTCGGTGTGTCCCTGGCCTGATCGAAGCTCTATATTTTTTTAAATTCTAGCTTTGAAGAGGATCCCATGGTTGACTACCAAAAAGAAAATACCGGGATCGAAACGTCAATAAACAGAAGAAATGAACATTAATTAGTTTATTAAATAATAATTAAATGACCTTATTCCCAATAAAATAGTAAAGTTTGAATATATATATATATATATATATATATATATATATATATATATATATATATATATACACATATATATATATATATACAATTCCATCATTGAAATGGCATAATATAACAACAACCTTGATAAAGAATGTACAGTTAAACTCCCAATGCCGATATATATGTATATATATACACATATATACATATACATATATATCGGCATTGGGAGTTTTACTGTATATTCTTTATCAAGGTTGTTGTTATATTATGCCATTTCAATGATATCATTGCTATTTGTATTTATAATATATTTATAAATATATTTATATCAAATATATTTGAATAATCAAAAAGTTTTACTTATATGTGGAATTTAGTAATCTACCTTACACGACGAAACAAAGGTATCACTCACTTCTCTTATTAATATTCATGTTGCCTGATTAGAGGCTAACCCGAATTCAACTGCATTCCGATGAAATACGCGCATTCAAAATGGTATAATACCAATAATACCATCGATAATTATCTCATAAATTGAAACCTCCATTGAATCTAAATTACTGCCTGCGTTAGGTCAAAAATTACATTGAATCTTGGGATTGATTAGCGATCGAACCGAAACTTTTTTCATTTTGGTTGCCAAATGATAGCTTAGGGGGCCTCAGTTGACTATAAATGTGAAATTAAGTAGCCAGAAAATGTGCCTAAATTAGGAATGATCTAAGGTCCTAATTTTTAGCAAAAAAAAAAAAAATAATTGAAAAAGCAAATTCTCCTAGTTTTTATTTTTTACAGTTCTAATTATCAGAGATGTATTCAATTTTCCACCTTGTTCACACGAAAATATAATAATTTGGGCATACTTTTCGCAAACAATTCTAAGGCTATTTCGGCTAATTCCTTACATCAGTTATAGAACAGAGTTATTTAAAATTTTAGCTTTAAAATAGAACCTGTTCTAACACAATGGTTTGTCTATGCTAATTAAGTTGATGATTAAAAAAATTAATATAAAAATATTATAGGCTGTCAGACAAACTTGTTAAGGATACATCTTAATTTGAAATTGCGAGTTATCAAAAATATACGACGCCATTTAAAATCTCAAGCTGCTTTAAAAATATTATACATGTTCATTCAAATTGATCAACATAAAAAAGTTAGAGCATCGCATTACATTCCTTGTTTTATCAATAGTTATCATTTTTTACGGTTTGGTTATCTAATTCGCCCACCCAGAATAAGAGGTTAATTATGGTAGATTTCACACCAATAAAACATGGGTTGTATACTTAAATGTTGTACAATTTTCATCAAATTTTACAGAATTGAAACATTCAATGATATTTAATTTGTTTTTTCTCTATTATAGAAATGTTAATCACGAATTTATTCGTTTGGCAAACATTCTTTTGAAGATTTATGATCAATTTAGGAGATGGCTACTAAAAAGTCCGCAAAGTATTTTTTCGAAATACTATTTTCCGTTTTGACATTATTCGAAATTCCTAATTCTTAATTTAAAATTTGGTTCCTATGATTTAGGGTAAAAGTATAAATTTATTTTGCTACTATTGGAGATAACCTACTGTGATATTCTCTTTGCGGCAACCATAGTGGAGGTTACTCCCTGCTAAAAGTTATCACGTTGTTTTTGTCTTCTCTTTTTTGAAAACTGTTGTTCTCTGCCAAAACTTGGATATGGTTGGTTCAAGGAGTCCGAAAATCGCCAATAACCTCTGGGTGAGTCTAAATCTTGATTGCGTTTAGCGGGCGGTAGCCTTGTTTGACCTTGTGCTCCTGGTTCCCAAGTTCAAGGCTTTCTGCCGTTATTGAATTCTCACAACTTGGCTGCAATGTGTTCAGGGAGAGTTTAGTTATATTGGTTTAATGTTTATTATTTTACAGGAATGATACTTTTATTCGTATCTCTTATTTTTGTAATTTTATATTATTAGTTAAAGTATCAGTCCTAGATGAATATATCGGCGGTGTGTTGCAAAAAGTTATTAACTAACATTTTAGAAAATCAAATCTCTAACTGTTTTGATGAATTTTCCTTTTGAGGAATTAAAACAAACAAATGTGTACTTATTGTGTGACATTTTTATTTTATGTGATAGGGTTTGTAATTTTCGTATCGTTTGTAAATTTCTTGATTCATAAATATGTTCTTAAAAGTTTAGCTCCATCAAAAGTGTATTTTTTGCATTATACTAACTTTTCCTACAATCTTTTTTTTCTTGTCCTTGTTTACTTTCGCTATTCCAAGATTGAGGCTTCGGATCCCCAAGATCCTTCAGAACTCGTTATCCCAGATTCTCGATGAATGCCGAAAGTAGCCGAGTATTGACAATACTGTTTACATCTGACAGAGTTTCTGTTATATCGCTACTGCTAGTTCAAAAGGTCGTATGTAACAATTTTATATGTTTATTCTCTTTGCGCTAAAGGTTACATTTTGTAGTCTGCAACTGCAATAAGTAGTCTGCTAAATAGAAATATAGTTAAGGGGAATACGAAATTATACTAATAAATCATGAAGGAATAATAGTTTTTTTTTATGAAAACTCTTCTGTAAAAATACTTTAAATTTTATATACAACCTTTTGCACTAACGGTAGTGATAGCAGTTGTTCAGTTTAGCCTGGGTTATATTCCTACCTTTCTAATATGTAAATATGTAAGATTTTAGAATACGTATCAAGGAAAATATCTTTCGTTAAAAAATAAATTGATTTAGCTCATTTGTCTCACAAAATACTAAATTACGTAATTGAATTTAAATTGAAATTTCCACTTCACTGTTTGGAAGAAAGAACGTATAATAATAAATGATGTAGTTAAAATAAACCTAATGAAATTAAATTCAAATTTCATTCCTCTCTGATAGATAGGAGAAAATTCCTACAATACAATATGTATAGAAAAATATGCATGATACAATTTGATAGAGACACAATTTTATTAACTGCGAAAATTATTTTCATTTTAATTATTATTATCAACTATTATAATTGAATGAAAATTACCCTATTAAGATGACGGGTAATTTACAATCGCATATTTTACCCCCGTAGGGAATCTAGAAGTTTAGAAATTGCTCTGGGTGATTAAAAGTGCCCATCATCTTTTAGTAGTGGAAAGGAACTAATAACCTTTTTTTGTTCCAACTATAGCAGGAAGGTTATCCTACGTTTAACCTATTCTAGTCTGAGGTCCTTATTTTATTAGCAGTATAATTTTTATCCGAATTTACCCGTCTGTCTTGGAAAGATAATTCAATGATTATCCTTGTTGTTATACTACCTAGTATTATCATAAGTACGCGATCTTAACTCATTAATTGTCCAGAGTAAACGATAATTTAGAACTCTGTTTCAGCATTTATATCCTGTTATCAGCTTGTTTGTTCCAAGTTGAAGTATCTTTATCTTTAAAAAGTCTGCTCTTCAATTATGCATCAATTTTCAACTAGTCCTTTAAAATTGTTAATTGTCGTTATTAAATTATTTATTCCACTAGTTTTACATATTTATTTTACTAGTGAAATTTTATTGATGTGCGAATCAATTCTTATGTTACGACAAATTTCAAAAAAACACATTGAAGTCCTTTTTAAATGAAAAATACTGATGTTACTGTTATGAAATATTTATGGTTTTCAATCAATTAAATGTTCTCTTTGAGATTAGTTGAGTCAAAAAACATTATCTATGGAACATTTTCTTCAATTTTTCCAAATGG